CTCAGTTACCTTGTCATGGTGATGTTGCCTGACAATGCCTCTAATGTACTCAGTATGGTCTCCTTCAGCGCCTTCAGCAGCCTGCTCGTTCATTTCCACATATTCCAACATGGGAGGGGATCCACAGAAACTTGACGACTCTTCCCTGGTTGGTTAATACCCTCACAGCTCGCTTAATTTCAGGGACTATCGCAAGATTTTCGGCCCGATTTTTACTTAGGCTTTGAGGCGCTGCTTTTTAATCAGTGCAGATCACTGCACCATTAGTGTTTCATTCAAGGACTCTTAACGCCATAACAATGGCAGTTAGCTCTGCTTGCATTGAAGAGGCATAGTTCTCAATACGTGCTTTTTCTTCATTTCTGCGTTGGAAAGTATTATCCTTGATTACCGTGTATGCTGCACCAGCCCTGCCATTGACAGGATTAGATGACCCGTCAGTGTAGATTTGATCTAGTTCATCTCTGGCTTCTACATAAATTTCCTAGAGATACTTGTGCCTCATTTCTTGTGGTATCATGTTGGATTTTTTCGTTGCCATTTCATTGATGATAATCCTGCATGAGTCATCCTCCCAGGGAGGTAACCTCTCTACAGGCAGGAGCTCACGGGCTTGCTCAAGCAGGTGAAGCTCTTCGAGGTAGCAGACTGATCTGTGATGCCATTTTTTGCTTCTCCTGTTTCCTCCTGTAAGTAGCACAGAACTCAGTTTTTTCTTAGCAATATCATTGTAATAGGGATCTCTGGCTATCCTAATTGCAAGCTTAGCATTCAGCTCCTTAATTCTGCTTTTAACACTAGAGAAGGACAACTCCTCTTGTACATTAGACGTTTTGGTAGGCACTCCAAGAATGATTGTAATGGCTACAATTTGCATGCTTTCGAGCCTTTTCAAATCGCTTTGGGAGTAGGTGCACAGAACTGGTGCGGCATAGTCTATGACGGAGCGCACATAGGCTGTGTACATCATTTTAAGCACGGCAATAGAGGCTCCATGTCCATTCCAGGTCATAGCTTTCAGTGCCCTGAGTCGACTTTTGCATGTTCCTATGAGTTGGTTCAGCTCCCCTTTCTTCCCCTTGTTAGAGCCGACAGTGACGCCAAGGTACCAATAGTGGTCAACCCATTCAAGTGTTACACCATTAATTTGTAGTTCTTCATTTTCTTCCCTCTTGTGATGAGAGTATGCTTTGGTCTTGTTTGTGGAGAGTGAAACCGAGCTCAATACATTTCCCTCTAAGGAGTTCAATGGACTGTTTAATTTCTCCCAAGGTTGGAGCTTGTATTAGGACATCATCTGCATATCCCACTTGTTGCGTCCCTTCCGGAATATCAATATTTACAATGGCGTTCATAAATACATTAAATAGTGTGGGACTTAAGACTCCGCCTTGGGGGTACCGAGTTCCACATTCATTGTTCGAATAATAGCTTGCTTATTGGTGTTCTAATTTGACTTCGCGCTCGGGAGCCGGTCGGCCGAGCGGAGAGCACGCTGGCTTGTGATCCTGTGGTCCCGGGTTTGATCCCAGGCGCCGCCGAGAAACAATGGGCAGAGTTTCTTTCACCCTATGCCCCTGTTACCTAGCAGTAAAATAGGTACCTGGGTGTTAGTCAGCTGTCACGGGCTGCTTCCTGGGGGTGGAGGCCTGGTCGAGGACCGGGCCGCAGGGACACTAAAGCCCCGAAATCATCTCAAGATAACTCAAGAAGATCCCATGTCGATGATTATTTAAGTAAAAAGGTGTATGTGTGTATGAACTCTAAGTGCCAGTAGGATGGAGCTGCGGCTCTTGGACCCCGCCTTTCGTACTGACTGCCAACCTACTTTCCTCAACACCTCATCAGGGACGAGATCCCCTAAAGGGAATGGCAATGGCAAACACGCGCCGTCTCACCACCACTGTGACGTTCACACTCTTCGTCCCCACGATGACTTGCCATGCCCGCCTCCCAGTGACTTGCCATGCTCACGTGTCAGAGTGACTTGCCATGCCCGCCTCCCAGTGACTTGCCATGCTCACGTGTCAGAGTGACTTGCCATGCCCGCCTCCCAGTGACTTGCCATGCTCACGTGTCAGAGTGACTTGCCATGCCCACGTCCCAGAGTGACTTGCCATGCGAGCGTCCCAGAGTAAGTTGCCATGCCCGCATCCCAGAGTAAGTTGCCATGCCCGCATCCCAGAGTTGCCATGCCCGCATCCCAGAGTTGCCATGCCCGCATCCCAGAGTTGCCATGCCCGCATCCCAGAGTTGACATGCCCGCATCCCAGAGTTGCCATGCCCGCATCCCAGAGTTGCCATGCCCGCATCCCAGAGTTGACATGCCCGCATCCCAGAGTTGACATGCCCGCATCCCAGAGTTGACATGCCCGCATCCCAGAGTTGACATGCCCGCATCCCTGAGTTGACATATCTGAGGAAAAGCTGGAAATTGATCGCGAAACAAATAGTAGAATGTGTTTTGTTTCTCTGCCGAAAGAATTGTTTACATTCAGTCAGCTGACTCGGTACAAAAGTCACGCAGGATGACGTCAGTGCTGGCCCAGTGTTTGTAAACAAACCATTAGGCCGCGTTGGGAAACACTTGGGTTGTCTGTAAATAACAAAAGCACAGCTGTTATATTTCCATTCTTTTGGAGTCCAGTTAACATATATTGTTTAGTTTGAGTGAGGCTGTACTCACCTAGTTGTGCTTGTGGGGGTTGAGCTCTGGCTCTTTCGGCCCGCCTCTCAACTGTCAATCAAGTTTTATTTTCTCCACACACACACACACACACACACACACACACACACACACACACACACACACATTGCATCCTGCTTCCCCCAGGAAGCAGCTCGTAGCAGCTGTCTAACTCCCAGGTACCTATTTTACTGTTAGATAAACAGGGGTATCAGGATGAAATAAACTCGGTCATTGGTCCCTAGGATTACGAGTTCCGAGAGCTGTCCACTCGGCCGTCTGGCCCCTTTGTGTGTGTGTGTACTCATCTAGTTGTGCTTGTGGGGATTGAGCTCTGGCTCTTTGGTCCCCACCTCTTAACTGTCAATCAACTGGTGTACAGGTTCCTGAGCCTATTGGGCTCTATCATATCTACACTTGAAACTGTGTATGGAGTCAGCCTCCACCACATCACTGCCTAATGCATTCCATCTGTTAACTACTCTGACACTGAAAAATTTCTTTCCAATGACTCACTAGAAAGTATTCAGAGTACTTTCTAATGAGTACTCATTCGGGTACTCAACTTCCACCTGTGTCCCCTAGTGCGTGCACCCCCTGTGTGTGCGTGTATGCACGCGCGTGTTTGCTTGCTTGCTTGCGTGCAGGCATACGAAACTCTAACAGAGTTACCGTATATCAAACTAAGTTTAAATCCACCAATCTTAATAGAGAAAAGATCTGGGAGTCATAATTAGAATGGATCTTAGATAAAACAAAGAAATCAACTAAGTAAAGATGGTTGGTGTCTGAGCTTTATTTGTATAAAAGTTAGCAATAAAAGATAAAAAATTATTCTTCTGGTGCCTCTTGCCCTTGTTAAGCTTTATTTAGGCTGTACGGTTGGACTTTAGTCACCGTAAATAGACAATGGACTTTTAATCCACTTGAGTGTGTGGACTTAAATGCGATTGAGTGTGTGGACTTGAATGCACTTGAGTGTATGAACTTGAATGCGCTTGAGTGTGTGGACTTTTAATTTACTTGAGTATGTGAACTTGAATGCACTTGAGTGTGTGGACTTTTAATTCACTTGAGTGTGCGGACTTGAATGCACTTGAGTGTGTGGACTTGAATGAACTTGAGTGTGTGGACTTGAATACACTTGAGTGTGTGGACTTGAATGCACTTGAGTGCGTGCAGAGATGAATGAGGAAGTTAATCCCCGGAAGTACAAACCTCCCTCATGAAGACACCTGTTCACTCCGTAAAAAATCCAGCCTCCTAAGCAAACCCGAAGCGTACGAACCCCCACAACCCACCTAACCTATTTCGTCCGATACATAGAAAACGTAGATATTTGTGAACCGTTCCTTTTCACAGCAGGCCGCATTAATAACGTCGCTTACCACAACGTGCATAAAGCGACGTGTTAGTTGAAAACAAACCATAAAACCATTTATATATTAAAAGAATAAAATGAAATAAAAAAGGTAATAAAAGTCGATAATAATGTCTTAAATATATAGAAACAAAACACAGAAGATTAAAGACTTGATATAAATTAATTGAATTTAAGATTCAGAAGAGATTTAGGTATTTAGTTTTTAGGTAGTCTGATGATTTGTGGGACAAACTGCCAGGTAACGTAATAGATGTGGGATTGCTGTGTTGTTTCAAGCGTAGGTTAGACATATATATGAATAAGTTTGAGTAGATATCAAAAGGAGCTGCCTGGTATGGGCCAATATGCCTTCTGCTGTTTCCTAAATTCTCATTTTGTTATGTATATTATAGACATTGCTCTCTCTCCCTTTACACACACGCACACACACACACACACCACACACACACACACACGCACACACACACACACACACACACACACACACACACACACACGCACACACACGCACACACACACACACACACACACACACACACACACACACACACACACACACACACACACACACACACACACACACACACACACACACACACACACACACATACACAAAAAGAATATAGGTGGATAGAAGAAAATATTAAAGTGTTCAGTGAGAATCCACAAGGTCTTCTCTGAATACTCTTTATTTTCTGCTTCGAGGCTATGGGTCCCTACAATTGTACCAGTGGTGGTACCTATATATATATATATATATATATATATATATATATATATATATTATATATATTATTATATATATATATATATATATATATATATATATATGGTATACGATCACCACAACATCCCCACAAGAGACGCCTCCCTCTCTAACATCTCCCAAGACACAGATGATCTTGCAGCATCTTAATCTTCCCACACCAGAGAGGCGGAGGCGGAGGCTGCGAGGGTGGAGGCTGAGCGGGCCACCAGCGAGAGGCTCGAGGGACTGACCAAGCAGACTATGCTGGAGAAGCAGCTCAAAAGAGCACAGGTAAGCATCCCCTGCCCCCCCACCCCCCCACAGTCTTCAAGGTTAAACTTGTTAACATTCATGTGAGTGTAAACCCTAAGTTAACCTTAAGGCGTGTGTGTAAGCTGTGATTCACTAAGGAGTTACTCATCCACTTGCGAAACCTCTACATCTTTCCTTAATCATGGCGGCGTTGTTTACTAAATTGCCTAAATTTACTAATTTACTACAAATTTACTAAATTTTGCTAAATAGTTTACTAAATTACTAAATTGTTGTTTAATAAATTACTAAATTGTTTACTAAAATTAAACAGTGTATGAACTGGGAAACTTCACAACCCAAGGTTGTTATTGTTGTAAACAAACTCGTGGTGCTTCGGATGTGTAAACAAAGCCGCCATGATCGGTAAAAGATGTACAGGTTTCGTGTGCTTGAGAAATCTTGACCCAGGTGTTCAACTAACTCTCAATGATACTCTTTCGAATGTTAGTGCTAATTCATGACGATTCCCCTGTTCAATGCCACCAGTTTCAAGTTCCTGTCCAGTCCACTCGAGATGGTTACCTTGAGGTTACCTTGAGGTGCTTCCGGGGCTTAGCGTCCCCGCGGCCCGGTCGTCGACCAGGCCTCCTGGTTGCTGGACTGATCAACCAGGCTGCTGGACGCGGCTGCTCGCAGCCTGACGTATGAGTCACAGCCTGGTTGATCAGGTATCCTTTGGAGGTGCTTATCCAGTTCTCTCTTGAACACTGTGAGGGGTCGGATTTACACTGAACACTGGATTTACCTGGTGGCCACAGGTAAATCCAGGTACCCCATCAAGGCCACTAGTACTGTTAGTCAGTATTCGTTACATCTCGGTTCACCCCGGCATTTCTTCAAAAAATGTTTACGATCAACTAGGCTGTGATTGATGTGTGGGTCTACGATCTATTGATAGTGTGGATCACTATCTACAACTGGTGATAGTGGCCATGGAATCAGTAACTTTACCCCAGAGGTAGAGTCCTACATATCAGATAACTATGGTAACAGAGCCCTACATATCAGTGCTATATGTAATGACTATATAGCACTTGGAAGGGATTTGGGATGGGACGGAAGGTAAGGAATGGTGCCCAACCACTTGTGGACGGTCGGGGGATTGAACGCCGACCTGCATGACGCTCTACCGTCGCTCTACCGTCCACCCCAAGTGGCTGGGTACCCAACGAAGGAGCAATAAGGGACCACGCCAACAAATACTTGCAGGCGCTCCAAGAACACGCGGCCCACGACTCTCCCATCACTTGTTTACAATCAACAACAAACATCAAAGTCTGTTAAGGAGCGAGCCTAACACCAAGACATATTCCTCGAGAATACATCTAAGATGACGTCAGCAACACGAGGGGAAAATGGCGATACTGAAGCGTTGAGGACGGTGTTGACTAGGTGCTTCTGGGAGCCCAGTTTGGTGCCTCAAGGTGGAACCTTCAGCTTAAGAACCACTAAACATAACTTAAAAAGGCTTGAAAGCTCTCAAGGAAGCTCGTCTTTAGAAATACGTTGGCTGGGTTAGAGGAAAAGTTGAGAGAGAGAGAGAGAGAGATAGAGAGAGAGAGAGAGAGAGAGAGAGAGAGAGAGAGCGAGAGAGAGAGAGAGAAGAGAGAGAGAGAAGAGAGAGAGAAAGAGAGAGAGAACGAGGAGAGGAAAGGGAAGAGAGAGGGAAGAGAGAAAGGAAGAGAGAGAGGGAAGAGAGAGAGGGAAGAGAGAGAGGGGAGAGTGAGTGAAAGAGTGAGAACAGCCGAGTGAGTGGGTCAAATACATTTGAGTGTATATATTCTCTCTCTCGCTCTCTCTCTCTCTCCTCTCTCTCTCCCACACCACCCACATGGATGAGTGTGTGAGTGAGAGAGAGAGAGAGAAAAATTGACAGGGTAGATAAAGATAAACTGTTTAACACTGATGGTACGCGAAAAGGGGACACAGGTAGAAATTGAATACCCAAATGAGCCACAGGGATGTTAGAAACAACTTTTTCATTGTCAGAGTAGTTAACAGGTGGAATGCATTAGGCAGTGATGTGGTGGAGGCTGACTCCATACACAGTTTGAAATGTAGATACGATACATTGTGTCAGACACTTCTGTGTCTCCAGAAGCTGGTGACACAGATGAGGCAGGACCAGAGGACACGGGTAGATGCTGGAGACACAGATGAGGCAGGACCAGAGGACACGGGTGGAAGCTGGAGACACAGATGAGGCAGGACCAGAGGACACGGGTGGAAGCTGGAGACACAGATGAGGCAGGACCAGAGGACACGGGTGGAAGCTGGAGACACAGATGAGGCAGGACCAGAGGACACGGGTGGATGCTGGTGACACAGATGAGGCAGGACCAGAGGACACAGGTGGAAGCTGGTGACACAGATGAAGCAGGACCAGAGGACACGGGTGGATGCTGGAGACACAGATGACCCAGAAAGATGCCAGGAAAAAAATTATTCAGTGCAAGGGCCAAATGTAAAGAAAACGAGCCGCAAGATGAGCTCGTTGAGACAAATTCACTAAACAGGAAATACGACGATAAACAAAAGGAATTAAAGTCATTGCATTAACCAGCTAAAGAGATAGAAAGCCAGGGCCAGGGAGCTACAGCTCGACACGGCAAACAGGACTAGATGAGCTCACAGGACCTCGTGGTCCAGTGGTAGAAGTCGTCGATTCGCAACCAAGAATTTCGCGGGTCCATTTCCCATTCGTTGATTGGTTGATTGGTGGTTGGGTGGTTAAGTGGTCGGTAGATAGCGTGTTGCTTGGTTGATTGGTCGCACGACGGTTGATTGGCTGGTTAATTGACTGAATGATCACTTGGTTGGATATCTGGTTAGTTGACCAATTGGTTAGGTGGATATTGGCCTGAAGGCCACGTCTGTGGTAGAAAAAAAAATGGAGCTCCAAGGCAATTTAATGATAAAAATAATATCAATAAAAACTGAAATGAAACCTAATAAAAAACGGGATATGGGTGACTCTAGGAAGCCTAAAATATTGGTTTTCTTCGTAAATTTAATTCCTTGCATTAGATTTTTTTCCCATATTTACGAGGTCGTACCGGGGAAACTTTTTGTATTTTTCAAAATATGTTTTCCTGACGATATCTTAAGTGCTCTTCGTGCATGACACGAGGCTTGCGTAGGTCGTAGGGAGGATCTTATGGTTGAAATTGGGCAGTATATAGCGCCTTGTGATCGCTTGGGGAGCAGTTTGGGGAGCCTTGGATTTGCTTAGGGACCTTGTAGTAGTTTGGTGATTCTTGTGGACGTTTGGGAAACCTTCAAGTCGTTTGAGGAAACTTGAAGTCGTTTTGGGAACCTTTTGGTCGTTTGCGAAACCTTATGCTCATTTGGGAAAACACCCGAAAGTTTCCAGACACCTCAACAAGTAGGCTCGGTCGCTGACTAGGCCTTCTAGTTGCTGGGCTGGTCAACCAGGCTGTTGGACGGGGCTGCTCGCAGCCTGACGCTTGAATCACAGCCTGGTTGATCAGGTATCCTTTGGAGGTGCTTGTCAAGTTCTCTCTTGAACACTGTGAGGAGTCGGCCAGTTATGTCCCTTATGTGTAGTGGAAGCGTGTTGAACAGTCTCGGGCCCTCTGATGTTGATAGTTCTCTCTTGAACACTGTGAGGGGTCGGCCAGTTTATGTCCCTTATGTGTAGTGGAAGCGTGTTGAAACAGTCTCGGGCCTCTGATGTTGATAGTTCTCTCTTGAACACTGTGAGGGGTCGGCCAGTTATGTCCCATATGTATAGTGAAACGTGTTGAACAGTCTCGGGCCTCTGATGTTGATAGTTCTCTCTTGAACCACTGTGAGGGGTCGGCCAGTTATGTCCCATATGTATAGTGGAAACGTGTTGAACAGTCTCGGGCCTCTGATGTTGATAGTTCTCTCTTCAACACTGTGAGGGTCGGCCAGTTATGCTCCTTATGTGTAGTGGAAGCGTGTTGAACAGTCTCGGGCCTCTGGTGTTGATAGTTCTCCCTTGAACACTGTGAGGGGTCGGCCAGTTATGTCCCTTATGTGTAGTGGAAGCGTGTTGAACAGTCTCGGGCCTCTGGTGTTGATAGTTCTCTCTTGAACACTGTGAGGGGTCGGCCAGTTATGTCCCTTATGTGTTGTGGAAGCGTGTTGAACAGTCTCGGGCCTCTGATGTTGATAGTTCTCTCTTGAACACTGTGAGGGGTCGGCCAGTTATGTCCCATATGTATAGTGGAAACGTGTTGAACAGTCTCGGGCCTCTGATGTTGATAGTTCTCTCTCACAGTACCTGTTGCATCTCTGCACTTCAACGGGGGTATTCTGCACATCCTGCCATGCCTCGTGGTCTCATGTGATGTTATTTCTGCGATGTGCAGGTTTGGGACCAGCCCCTCTACTATTTTCCATGTGTAAATTATTATGTATCTCTCCCGCCTGCGCTCAAGAGAATACAGATTTAGGCATTTCAATTGGTCCCAGTAGTTTAGATGTTTTACTGAGTGGATTCTAACAGTATAGGATCCCTGCACGCTCTCCAATTCAGCGAGTTCTCCAGCTTTGAAAGGGGCTGTCATTGTGCAACAATATTCCACTCTTCAGAGAGTACAAGCGTCTTGAAGAGTATCAACATTGGTGTGGCATCTCTTGTTTGACAGGTTCTTGTTATCCAACCTGGCATTTGTCATGCAGTGGCGACGGATATACTTGTTTGTGTTCCTTAAGGATAAGGTCTTCTGACGTGATTACACCTTGCGGTCGTTTGGAGAACCTTGTGGTAGTTGAGGTAACCTTGTGGTGGTTTAGGGATCCTTGTGGTGGTTTAGAGAACCTTGTGGTCACTTAGGGAACCCTGTGGTCACTTAGGGAACCTTGTGGTCACTTAGGGAACCTTGTGGTCACTTAGGGAACCTTGTGGCCACTTAGGGAACCTTGTGGTCACTTAGGGAACCTTGTGGTCACTTAGGGAACCATGTGGTCGCTTAGGGAACCCAGTGGTCACTTAGGGAACCTTGTGGTCACTTAGGGAACCCTGTGGTCACTTAGGGAACCTTGTGGTCACTTAGGGAACCATGTGGTCGCTTAGGGAACCCAGTGGTCACTTAGGGAACCTTGTGGTCACTTAGGGAACCTTGCGGTCACTTACGGAACTTTGTAGCCGTTTGAGGAGACAATTTTTTCATTCTGAAGCTCCTCAGCTATGATCTGTGACACACAAACTAGTAGACGGAACGTGTCCCAACTTTCTAAACGCGACCGTTCACAGACGTGCTAGTCATTTTTTATCCTGCGCTCTGTCTCAAAAACAGTTCAATATCCACATCTGCAATTTTAACTATGTGTATATATTAAAGTTATGGCTCTTGCTGTATACATTTTCATTTTAATTACCTTCAGAATTTTTTTAGGTAGTGTTTATGTTCTAGATTTGTGTGTGTGTGTGTGTGTGTGTGTGTGTGTGTGTGTGTGTGTGTGTGTGTGTGTGTGTGTGTGTGTGTGGTGTGTGTGGTGTGTGTGTGTGTGTGTGTGTGTGTGTGTGTGTGTGTGTGTGTGTGTGTGTGTGTGTGTGTGTGTTTACCTGGAGTTTACCTGGTGAGTGTTGCAAAACTTCTAGGCCCAGATTCCAGCTTGGAGGCAGGCTCGACTTGTGATAACTTGGTCCAACAGGCTGTTTGTGTATGTGTGATTTACAGATCAGAATGATCTTCCCTTTACAGATCGTATAGCAATATTGCGTTCTAAATCGAGTTTAAATTTAGAATGCATCAACTTCAGCGTTATAAAAGCTTATTCGTCACGTTCCATTGAATTAAATTAATCAAATCAAAGATAAACTGAAAACAAATAACCCAACCATATGATATGAAAGGAAATGAATGACGTTTCCGTCCGTCCTAGAAATTAAACGATAATTACGTCCTAAACGTAATTATGTGATTACGTTTCAGGCTGTTGTAGGTCTTTGTGTGACAATAACTCGGTGCCCCGCAATGGACTATATTTTTTGAGACGTTCCAACGAAAGTATGATTGGTATGTATGATTGTATGTATGTATGATTGATAAGTATGATTGGCTAACATTGAGGAACGCTGCAGTAGATTGTCATCCAGGCCTTATCAAATATTAATGTTGGCAGACGCGTGTTATGAGTTTATTCTGCGCCATCTGTCCAATGTATTTCAAGTCACAGACTTTGCAACGGATCGAATACACACACATCTTGCTGAAGTGGCACTCGAGTATTAATTAAAATAACAATTTCTGAATTATAATTTTTTAAACTAGCTTGACATTGAAGATCCCAAAAGCCAGGGAAAGTTTACCCTTTAGAATACGGTAACGCGAGTGATTATTTTTAAGTCATGGATTGTCTTAAGTTTGTGATTATAAAACGTTCCTTTTGTCTGGCGCAACGAAGAGTCTAAGACCACTTTTGAACTTTGCCAAAGTTTCATATATTTGGGTCATTTCTTCATCAACGAATTCTGAGCTACAAACTGGCAGGGCTCCATGACAGTTGAGGGAAGATGTCTTGATGGGAAGATGTCTTGATGGGAAGATGTCTTGATGGGAAGATGTCTTCAGGGAAGATGTTTTGATGGGAAGATGTCTTCAGGGAAGATGTCTTGATGGGAAGATGTCTTCAGGGAAGATGTCTTCAGGGAAGATGTCTTCATAAGTCTCCAGCCTTAAAAGCTGGAGACTTATGAAGCAATGTGTTACAGCTGAAGATAAGGCGTTGGCAACCTTCAAACTACTTCATATGCAGGTCGGCGTTCAATCCCCGACCGTCCACAAGTGGTTGGGCACCATTCCTTTCCCCCCGTCCCATCCCAAATCCTTATCCTGACCCCTTCCAAGGGCTATATAGTCGTAATGGCTTGGCGATTTCTCATGATAGTTCTCTTCCCTTTACAGATACAAACAGCCAAATATTAATTACTTTAAAGGAACACAAATTTTTATACTGTACTCACCTAGGTGAACTCGCCTTGTTGTGCTTGCAAGGGCTGAGCTTCGGCTCTTCGGTTCTGCCTCTCAATTGTAAATTTGACGGGAATAACACTTACCACCTAGGAAAAAATACAAAAATTGTTACACAGTGTTATATGTAATTATTATACATATGTATGTGCATGTTATATGTAATTATTATATATATTTATATGCATGCTATATGTATATATTTGAAACACATAATTATATATATATAAATATATATATATATATATATATATATATATATATATATATATATATATATTATATATATATATATATATATATATATATATGCGATGCGTTCCTAAATGATCTGATGTTCTCATCACTGAAAATTAAAAAGAAAAGTTAAAAAACGAAATAAAAACAATGAAAAAAAAAAAAAAAAACAATAAACTATACACACCAAATGAACGGTATGGTAAACAACACAGCTCAATTCCAACGCAATGTCACACGAAATAATTAAATCAAAATGAAAACAAATTGAAATCTTTAAAAATTTAATTTATCAATGCAATCGGAAACATTGAAATGAAATTGTAACATGTTAGGTTTAGCGTGTGTTATATTTACGTGCAACAGATGGCGCCGATTAAAAAAAAAGCATGTTTTTACCTGTCACAGGTGTGGCATCTATTTAGTATGTATATACAAACATGCTCGTGTTCGAATGGAACTTTGTGTCAAAATTTCAAACCAATTGGTGAAGAACTTTAGGAGATTACAGCATGTGTTGCTCTTACGTCCAACAGACGGTGCTGTTTAAAAAAAAAATTACGCGTCACACGTGTGGCATGTATATAGTAGGTATATAAAAACACGAACGTATTTGAATGTAACATTGTGTCAAAATTTCAATGCAATCGGTAAAAGGTTTCGGAAATTAGCTTTTTTGAACGAACGAAAACTTACATATATATATATATATATATATATATATATATATATATATATATATATATATATATATATATATTGTAAACATAGTTTACTGAAACAATAAATCACAACAGGGTAAGCGTAATCATTTTAGTAGTAATCTTTATATTGCTTATGTTCTTCACATGAGAAGAAATTGAACAAATGAACTATCCAGAGGTCATTTACTTCTCGAGTTAAGAACATAAGAAATATAGGAGAGAGGAGAGACGTAAATTGACACATAGGTTCGAACCCTCCTACGGATTTTCTCATTGACACATCACATTAGTTTGACTACTCTCTGTGTAATAATAATAATAATAATAATAATATAATAATAATAATAATAATAATTATATACCTCTTCAGCCGCCACACGACTAATAGATGTCTCTCCCCAGGAGGCAGTAATCCGTTCTGAAGAAAACCTTGCCAAACAAGCCCGCACGTCAAACGAATATCAGGTTGGTGTTAATCACACACACACACACACACACACACACACACACACACACACACACACACACACACACACACACACACAACACACACAAAACACACACAAACAGGCTGCAGAGATGGTCAGGGAAATGGCTACTGGAGTTTAACACCAGTAAATGTAAAGTTATGGAAATGGGATCAGGTGACAGGAGACCAAAGGGACAGTACACAATGAAGGGGAACAGCCTACCTGTAACGATTCGAGAAAGAGACCTGGGAGTGGATGTGACACCTAATCTAACTCCTGAGGCACATATAAATAGGATAACGACAGCAGCGTACTCTACACTGGCGAAAATTAGAACTTCATTCAGAAACCTAAATGAGGAAGCTTTTAGGGCGCTTTACACTGCCTACGTGAGACCCGTCTTAGAGTATGCCGCGCCATCATGGAGCCCCCACCTGAAGAAACACATAAAGAAACTGGAGAAGGTTCAGAGGTTTGCGACGAGGCTTGTCCCAGAGTTACGAGGGATGGGATATGAAGAGCGGCTGAAGGAACTGAACCTAACGACACTAGAGAAAAGAAGGGAGAGAGGAGATATGATAGGGACATATAAAATACTCAGGGGAATTGATAAAGTGGAAATAGATGAAATGTTCACACGTAATAATAACAGAACGAGGGGACATGGGTGGAAACTGGAAACTCAGATGAGTCACAGAGATGTTAGGAAGTTTTCTTTTAGCGTGAGAGTAGTAGAAAAATGGAATGCACTTGGGGAACAGGTTGTGGAAGCAAATACTATTCATACTTTTAAAACTAGGTATGATAGGGAAATGGGACAGGAGTCATTGCTGTAAACAACCGATAGCTAGAAAGGCGGGATCCAAGAGTCAATGCTCGATCCTGCAAGCACATATAGGTGAGTACATATAGGTGAGTACACACACACACACACACACACGTTTGTGTTTGTGTGTGTGTCTCATTGAATATGACAACATATTCTGTATTAACTAATTCTGTAATAACACTCCTAAGGGGGAGCCCATTGCTACTCCGTCTACTTGTAGATACATGTCCCCTTACGAACTGATGAAAAGAGTATACAGAGACGAGAGCACCCCCAAATTAGACATACCTGAGCCATACTTGAAGAGTCTTCTCGAAGCATGTACAAAGGAAGCCCCTTTCATCAGTCCACAAGGAGACATGTATCTACAAATAGACGGAGTAGCAATGGGCTCCCCCTTAGGAGTTTTATTTGCTAATTTTTATATGGGAACCATCGAAGATAGGGTCTTCAGTAGCAGACAAAAACCAACTGTATACTGCCGTTAGGTAGATGACATATTCGTCATAGTATAAGACTCAGAAGAAGTAATTGATCTAAAAAGCCATCTAGAGAGTCAGTCAGTACTCCGATTTACACATGGAAATAGTGAAAATAACAGTCTGCCATTCTTGGATGTACTAATAACAAAAACAGGAACCTCTTTAAGCACCAGCTTATATACCAAACTTACCTACATAGGATTATGCCTGAACGGTAAGAGTGAGTGCCCCCAAAGATACAAAGCCAGTGTTCTCAATGCTTATATTCGTCGAGCGCTTATCCACTGCTCTGAATGGAGCCACGTGAGTAGAGAGTTTGAAAGAATAACTCAGGTATTGGTGAACAATGGATATAGCAACACGGAAATCAACACTGCTATAAGAAGACACTTGGACCGGTGGTACAATCCTGAACGAAGAACAGAAACCACAACACCTCCAATAAAATTATATTACAAATCAATCATGCACAGTGAATATAAAAGAGGAAAGAATAATGAAAGAAATAATCCGTAAAGGAGTAAAAAGCATTACTCCTAACCAAAACATAGACAGCATCAGATACTATAAGACAAAGACAATCGACCTCCTTATTAAAAACATACCGAAGCCAACTGAGAACCCTTTGCAGTAGTCAAACGTGGTATATATGTACACTTGCCCCCACGAAGGATGTAACCTTCAATCTAGGTACATAGGTATGACGTCGACCAAGCTGACGAGGCGTTTGACCTGTCATCTTCAGTCAGATGCCCCTTAAAATCACACGAGACAACCCCATGACATCACCCTAACAAGAGAAATGCTGAACAAAAACACTTGTATAATAGACTAAACCCAAGATGTAAGATTACAAATTCTTGAAGCAATCCACATAAAAATAGAACAACTCACCATGAATACCCAAATTACGTAACTATGCACTCTACCCACCATCTTGAGATGATTTCGGGGCTTTAGTGTCACCGCGGCCCGGTCCTCGACCAGGCCTCCACCCCCAGGAAGCAGCCCGTGACAGCTGACTAACACCCAGATACCTATTTTACTGCTAGATAACAGGGGCATAGGGTGAAAGAAACTCTGCCCATCGTTTCTCGCCAGTGCCTGGGATCGAACCTAGAACCAAAGGATCACAACTCCCGCGTGCTGTCCGCTCGGCCGACCGGCTCCCACCTGATTCATCAGTGTATATGGTTCATCCCCTATTACTGCCTTATTTTTGCCTTTATTATACTTGTCTTCACCTGACCCCGTACTGGTATAAATCTTACGCGCTTTGTATTTTCTTCACAGCCCCGCTCCTGTGCCAGGTAAGTTACGGGCTCACCATAGCCCGTGCTACTTGCCCCGCTACTGTGCCAGGTAAGTCCACTACGGGCTCACCATAGCCCGTGCTACTTGCCCCGCTCCTGTGCCAGGTAAGTCCACTACGGGCTCACCATAGCCCGTGCTACTTGCCCCGCTCCTGTGCCAGGTAAGTCCACTACGGGCTCACCATAGCCCGTGCTACTTGCCCCGCTCCTGTGCCAGGTAAGTCCACTACGGGCTCACCATAGCCCGTGCTACTTGCCCCGCTCCTGTGCCAGGTAAGTCCACTACGGGCTCACCATAGCCCGTGCTACTTGCCCCGCTCCTGTGCCAGGTAAGTTACGGGCTCACCATAGCCCGTGCTACTTGCCCCGCTCCTGTGCCAGGTAAGTTACGGGCTCACCATAGCCCGTGCTACTTGCCCCGCTCCTGTGCCAGGTAAGTTACGGGCTCACCATAGCTCGTGCTACTTGGAACTTGTTCCGAGTAGCTGAATCGATAACAACAACAACAGCGTATTTTCTTATCACTTGAGAATGAACCATGTAGGTTCGAAACGTTGTGCAATTTTATAATAAGTGTAATACATTCTATAGTTATTTACTTCTTTTTCTTCATCTCGAAAAAGAACATGACTTTCGGAGAAGAACTCTTCCAACTAAACCCTGACGCAAGAGTACTAGTTAGAGGGATAGTTAGTGCCATGCGCTAGAGCTTATAGAGCGTATAGTACCGTAAGGATCATTATACTGCTCTTCTCCTCTTGTGCCCCCTAGCTACCCATCATTGTTGTATCATGTGCCCCCCCCCCTCCCCAAGCTGTCCACATGTCTGTTGCGTCTCACCACAGATAAGAGGGTCCACGCTGGAGCAAGAGGTGGTCCAAGCCAGAGCCGAGCTGGAAGCTGTCAACGCTGCCACCAAGGAATTCAGCGGCCAGGTCGAGCAACTGCAGGTATGACAACCACTTTAATACAACTTTGGTTTCTATGTTCCTTTAAGTATTGATCATCGAATAATCAAATCAAAGTAACGAATTACACATAGAATAAGGATATACAAACATGACTCAGTAACCATCACCCTAGATCATCATTTTAAACCTAATACACACACACACACATACACACACACACACACACACACACACACACACACACACACACACACACACACACACACACACACACACACACACACACACACACACACACACACACACACATACACACACACACAAAGGTTTGCCACCAGACTAGTACCCGAGCTGAGAGGTATGAGCTACGAGGAGAGACTACGGGAATTAAACCTCACTTCGTTGGAAGACAGAGGAGTTAGAGGGGACATGATCACCACATTCAAGATTCTCAAGGGAATCGACAGGGCAGATAAAGACAGGCTATTTAACACAAGGGACACAGGTGGAAACTAAGTGTTCAAATGAGCCACAGATATCTTAGAAAGAACTTTTTTAGTGTCAGAGTGGTTGACAAATGGAATGCATTATGAAGCAATGTGGTGGAGGCTGACTCCATACACAGTTTCAAGTGTAGATATGATAGAGCCCAATAGGCTCAGGTACCTGTACACCTGTTGATTGACAGTTGAGAGGCGGGACCAAAGAGCCAGAGCTCAACCCCCGCAAGCACAACTAGGTGAGTACACACAAACACACACACACACAAACACACACACACACAAACACACACACACACAAACACACACACACACAAACACACACACACACAAACACACACACACACAAACACACACACACACAAACACACACACACACAAACACACACACACACAAACAAAAGTCTAAAAGTTTGATATATTGTCAGTTACATTTTTTTAAAAAACAACTAAGAAACGCATAATACACAATAGGGGTAAAAGGAATAGTAAAGATATGAGCATCATTCTCAACTGACGTTAAGTGTACTTACGTCAGAAATTAGTTTCGAGCCAGAGGGCCCTGCAAGCGAAGTCTGAGGCTGACTACGAGAAACTTAGCGAGAGGTACGAGTCCCTCAAGGAGAAGACCACAAAGTCGGAGGTACGCAGCTAAAGACTTCAAGAAGGTCCCACCCTTGTGTTTGACCCTTCAATGGGATGCTTTTGTTTCTTATTAGCTTCTCAAAATAGGATGTTATTGTTGTGGTGTTGAAGAAGATGTTATTATATTTTGTGCTCCTTGTAGCTAAAATATTTTAATGTTTATTTGTGATAAGAGACTGATTATATGGAGGGAGTAATGATGCCATTTGTTCTTTTGTTCTTATGTGGAAAGACTTTTTAAGGGAGTGAATATGTCTGTTCTCCTTCTGTTCTTATGTAGATAGACTTGTCAAGGGAGTGAACATGTCTCTGTTCTCCTTCTGTTCTTATGTAGATAGACTTGTCACGGGAGAGAACATGTCTCTGTTCTCCTTCTGTTCTTATGTAGATAGACTTGTCACGGGAGTGAACATGTCTCTGTTCTCCTTCTGTTCTTATGTAGATAGACTTGTCACGGGAGTGAACATGTCTCTGTTCTCCTTCTGTTCTTATGTAGATAGACTTGTCAAGGGAGTGAACATGTCTCTGTTCTCCTTCTGTTCTTATGTAGATAGACCCGTCAAGGGAGTGAACATGTCTCTGTTCTCCTTCTGTTCTTATGTAGATAGACTTGTCAAGAGAGTGAACATGTCTCTGTTCTCCTTCTGTTCTTATGTAGAGAGACCCGTCAAGGGAGTGAACATGTTTCTTGTTCCTGCTTTGGTTTGTTCATCACCAAGTGTTCTTGGTGTTCATCAAGAATCATATGTAGTGTTTTGTGCTGTGTGTAAGTGTAATTGATAGAGAACATTCATGTATATCGTCATGATATACATGAATGTATATCATTCATGTATATCATTCCTCTATATACATTAATATATACATATTAATGTATATAGAGAACAACCATGTATGTGTTCATAAATAGTTATGTTCGTGGCCTGATGCTGCCTTCGAGTTATTCGTGCATAATATTGATATTAATAAATATATTGACATTGTTAAATAAACAATAATGATAACATAAGACTGATATAACTTAACAATAATTATAACAAAAATCGTTAACAGTAACAATATGAATTATATCATTAATGAATAATAATACAATTAATAATAAATGAGTATTGTAGTAATTATTTTAGACTCGCTTATATTATTAGGCCCATACAATACCCCCCCCCCCCCACTACAACCATAGTTAATTTTTGTGCTAAGAAGTAATCCCTCTCAGAGGACGTCAACCCTACCACTAATCCTGACTAACCTCAGCAACAAATCCTGGCCACTGAGGCAACAATTGAATTCAATTTCTTTATTATGCACCCCATACCCCAGTGGGCGGTGGTGGAAGAAGGGGGTTACAAAGGCCCATAATGGGTTCAGGAACTGTACCCCAGAGTTCGTTTAGCTAAACAAGAGACCATCTTTTGAGGAAGGGAGAGTGCAATAGAGGTTCTCTGAGACCACAAATGGAGAATTTATAAGATTGATTGATGAAGATTAAGCCACCCAAGAGGTGGCACGGGCATGAATAGCCCGTAAAGCTATAGGAGACGACTCAACATTTCAGATAACTCAGACTCAGTCAAGGCCAACGAACTGGCAGGTGGAACTGTCAAGACAGCAACGGTCAAGGGCCTGTGGCACTGGCACAGACACGTTATCATGTTGTCTCGTACAAGCAGCATATATCACTGGTGGTTCCTTTGTGTGTTGCAGACGAGGATGAGAGCCATGGAGGAGGAGGGTGCCAGGAAGGAGGCACTCCTCCAGGAGGCGCAGCAACAACTCCACTCCAAGGAAGACCACAACCTCGAACTCCAGGTAAGTGAGAGACAGAGACAAAGTAAACAGACAGGCAGAGCAAGCAGAGATAAGAGAGACAGACAGACAAACAGATAGACAGAGCAAGCAGAGATAAGAGAGACAGACAGACAAACAGATAGACAGAGCAAGCAGAAATAAGAGAGACAGACAGACAAACAGATAGACAGAGCAAGCAGAGATAAGAGAGACAGACAGACAAAAACAGATAGACAGAGCAAGCAGAGATAAGAGAGACAGACAGACAAACAGATAGACAGAGCAAGCAGAGAGAAGGGAGAGAGAGACACACACACAGAAACAGAGACAAAGATAATGAGAAAGAAGGAAGAGAGAGAGAGAGAGAGAATATGGAGGGTGAAAGGATAAGTACATGGGAGAGCAAAAAAAGGGAAGAGAAAATGAAGATAAATTAGAATCATGAAGACACGAATAAGAAAGACTTAGATGGCTATTAGACTATTAAAATAGGGAAGATAAAACCGTATATTATCTACCATATACCCAACAAATACTCTACCTTTATCTACCATATACCCAACAAAGACTCTACCTTTATCTACCATATACCCAACAAAGACTCTACCTTTATCTACCATATACCCTACAAATACTCTACCTTTATCTACCATATACACAACAAATACTCTACCTTTATCTACCATATACCCAACAAATACTCTACCTTTATCTACCATATACACAACAAATACTCTACCTTTATCTACCATATACCCTACAAATACTCTACCTTTATGTCTACCCAGCAAATATTTGACCTTATCTACTACGTTCACTACAAATATTCTACCTTAATGTGCTATACAAATACTATCACTTTATCTACCATCCAAACATTTTGACCTAAATCTACAATCTACCCTGAGTTGTTCTTCACAGCTGTGGGGCCTGACAGCTGAGTGGACAACACTTGGCATTCGTAATCCAAGGTTTCCGGGTTCGATCCCCGGTGGAGGCGCAAACAAATGGACAGAGTTTCTTTCACCTCTGATGAAACCTATTGACCTAGCAGTAAATAGGTACCTGGGAGTTAGACAGCCGCTACGGGCTGCTTCCTGGGGGATTATGTAACAAAAAGGAGGCCTAGTCAAGAACCGGGAAAATCATCTCAAGATGATTTTCCTACCAATCCTTCCCTACCAATCCTTTTATATATTACAAGACCTGAGTTCTGTTACACACAGAAATCACAATAGCGTGATGCATCAAATGGACAAATCCACAAGGGCCGTGACGAGGGTTCGAGCCTACGTCACGGCCCCTGTGGATTTGTTGACCTGAGCCCCGTGTTTAGGGGAAGGATGCTGATCTGAACTTCTCCGGCAGGAGGCGCTGCAGAGGGCTGAGCGGGAGGCTGCGGAGACCCGGGGCTTCCTGAAGAACTCTCAGGAGCGACTTGATGATGCTACTGCTCAGATCTCCCAGCACGAGGAGAGAGAGGGGGGGAGGGGTGGGTGAGAGAGGGAGTGAGGGGGTGAGAGAGAGGGGAGTGAGGGGGTGAGAGAGGGGGCGGGAGGGGGGTGAGAGAGAGAGAGGGGGGCGGGAGGGGTGAGAGAGAGAGAGGTGAGAGAGAGAGAGAGAGAGGTGAGAGAGAGAGAGAGAGAGAGAGAGAGAGAGAGAGAGAGAGAGAGAGAGAGAGAGAGAGAGAGAGAGAGAGAGAGAGAGAGAGAGAGAGAGAGAGAGAGAGAGAGAGAGAGAGAGAGAGAGAGAGAGGAGAGAGAGAGAGAAGAGAGGAGAGGAGAGAGAGAGAGAGGGCGTGGGATTGGGAGAGGGGATGAGAAAGACGGAAGAGAAGCTAAGTAACAGAGAAAGGAGAATATGTCTCAGAAAAGAGAAAGGAAACAGTGAGGAGAGAAGAATAAAGAAGAGGTATAGTAATAAAAGTAAAAATGGGAGAGGAGGTGAATGAAGAGGAAGAGGTGCTAAATATGGTAAAGGAACAACAGAAACGCAATAAAAACGCACTCCAGGAACGCAGGTTCAAGCCCAAGACATAACTCCAACATATTACTTCCTAACAACAGTAGTTTGTAACAAAGAATGATAGGAATAAAGGAAGGGGGGGGAGAATGATAGAAAAACAACAG